CAGGCGGCGAAGCCCCATTCTCTGCCAACTTCCTAGCTCCTCTGCCAAAACTTTGCTGCTTGAGCGAATGATCCCGCCAGCTACGGAGGCTACTTAAAGCAGCCTTCAAAAAACCCTGTTACTTTCAACTTCCATACAACTCAGTCTGTATTTTAACATTTCCGCGCAAGCGGCCAGCTCCAGTTATGGACACCTTTCACGCGTATCGAGGGTGTCCACTCACGAGAGCTTCCACTGTATTAAATATTTTGCTCATATTTAGAGCTACTGGTGTAGGTATTAGCAAGTTACTAAACTTAATGTAATTTTTTCTAGAAAAGTGCACTTCGCCTTGGAGAAAGTCAACAAAATCAATTTTCGCTGCCGAAGACTTCAGAACAACCAAAAGGTTATACAAAATGACAGGTAAAATTTATCAAAACTTTGCTTATAAAACGCAAAAGGGAAGACGGAGGGGTGATATTCCCAATAAGATGATTTATAAAAGACTCCTACTACTAGAAAAATTATCTTAAGAATGATCTGAAAGAACAGCTACATTTTAGACGGGGATTCCCTTTCAACTGACCGAAGTTCATATCTAGTTCTTAATTTTGGCTTAAAGTAGCGACAAAAATTAGCTATGTGCTACAATTTAGTTTTTCCTGAAACACAAGTTATAAGATATTTAAGCAATTTGATAAAACATATGTATAACGAGAACTGTCTTGAGTATTTTATTTGCGCTTCAAACGAATTTCCCAAAGTTAACGGGCCCCGCTATCCGCATTGGCAGACAAATTAGGAAGTCTCTTCAAAACATTTCAACTGTACATTGTATGGTTATAATTTTTGTTTTGAAAAAATTATCTGCACTGGAAACAATATACTTTTAACAGCCGGCCATATCTGCCAACGCCGTAAAGGATAATGGCTTTACAATAAGTGAATGACGAGAAAAAACACATTTCGCTTATTTAGTCAGTTCTGTTCAGTAAGAGCTGTGTTCAGTTTTAACCCCAAGCAAATTTTGTCCTCGGCTCCTTGAAGATTGTCTTGTTGCAAACAAATTTTGAAAAATGACGGATTTATCTAAGGGTCGATCCGCATAAGCAGACAAATTTGGAATTGTCTTTTAAACCATCCAAACCAAAAACTCTATGGTGACAATTTTTGTCTTGAAAAAGTTTATCAGCACTGGAAACTATTAACTCTTGAAAAACTTATCAATATTCAGTAGACATATTAGGGCCATTTATACGAGGAAAAAGAAGACGCGTCTTACATAAGACGAGTCTTAAATAAGACGCGAACTTTACCATTTATACGAGCATGCCTTATCTAAGACGAGAACAGCTCGTATAAATGGTTCGCGTTTTATTTCTGTTCTTGACTCGTTTTCATGTGAATGTTGTCCGTAGCAACAGCAACCCAACGTGGCGCGCTAAAAATTAACGCATGCGTACGAAGTTTTTCTTGTCTTAGCTAAGACTCGTCCTATCTAAGAACAGGTGTTAAGGGCTGTTCTAAAATAAGACGCGTCTTAGCTAAGCCGCGTCTTATTTTAGACGAAATGTGCCGTTTATACGGAAAGTTCTTGTCTTATTTAAGACGCGTCCTATGTAAGACGCGTCTTATTTTTCCTCGTATAAATGGCCCTATTGTGTAATTGACTATCACCATCTGCATCATTTGCAAACTGAAAAGTCAGGGGTCATTAGGCAGGGGCANGAAAAAACACATTTCGCTTATTTAGTCAGTTCTGTTCAGTAAGAGCTGTGTTCAGTTTTAACCCCAAGCAAATTTTGTCCTCGGCTCCTTGAAGATTGTCTTGTTGCAAACAAATTTTGAAAAATGACGGATTTATCTAAGGGTCGATCCGCATAAGCAGACAAATTTGGAATTGTCTTTTAAACCATCCAAACCAAAAACTCTATGGTGACAATTTTTGTCTTGAAAAAGTTTATCAGCACTGGAAACTATTAACTCTTGAAAAACTTATCAATATTCAGTAGACATATTAGGGCCATTTATACGAGGAAAAAGAAGACGCGTCTTACATAAGACGAGTCTTAAATAAGACGCGAACTTTACCATTTATACGAGCATGCCTTATCTAAGACGAGAACAGCTCGTATAAATGGTTCGCGTTTTATTTCTGTTCTTGACTCGTTTTCATGTGAATGTTGTCCGTAGCAACAGCAACCCAACGTGGCGCGCTAAAAATTAACGCATGCGTACGAAGTTTTTCTTGTCTTAGCTAAGACTCGTCCTATCTAAGAACAGGTGTTAAGGGCTGTTCTAAAATAAGACGCGTCTTAGCTAAGCCGCGTCTTATTTTAGACGAAATGTGCCGTTTATACGGAAAGTTCTTGTCTTATTTAAGACGCGTCCTATGTAAGACGCGTCTTATTTTTCCTCGTATAAATGGCCCTATTGTGTAATTGACTATCACCATCTGCATCATTTGCAAACTGAAAAGTCAGGGGTCATTAGGCAGGGGCACCCAACGACGATTTCCTTCTAAATACGTTGAAAACACTTTTCAGGCTATCCAGAGTAGTTTTAGATCTCAAGAAAATTTTAGATGCAATTTATCCTTTTACGAATGTGAAAATTTTTCTGATTCCTCTCTCAATGACATTTTTGAGTCCAAAAGTTTTAGGTTTCGTTTTTCTACGAAAATGTGAAATAGTGAAATGTGACATATTAATTGTTACAAATTACAAACGGCATTACTTAGGAAAGAAATAAGCAAATTCAGCTTACGCCTGCTAATACTTAATGGATTGAACTTTTAGGGGTACTGTTTGGAAACTGATTACCATAGAGCCCCAGTCAGTGAATTAATACTTTATGTTTATATTCATGTGAAGTGTTCTGAATTGAAACCATCTTTGATGTGTCTTATCCATTTTACGCACTAAATGTATTTCGTGTTGCTTTATTATTTAAGCTACCTGAAGACGGCAATGTTAAACAACACTACATTTACTAACGCGACAAACTGCACAAATGGCACTGGAGCTGGACATGGGCCTCGACTTCCTCCTTCGCGCCAAGTTGATGTCGTTGCTATGGTCTTCAGTGTCTTCTTTTGCATCCTTGCCTTGATAATTGTGTTTGGAAACTCGTTAGTTATCGGTGCATTCCGCGTTAACAGACGACTTCGCACGACAACCAATCTGCTATTGATGTCCTTAGCCATCGCTGATTTGCTGATCGGAACGGTCTCTGTGCCGCTATGGGTTTATATATCTGTGACATATACCTTTCAAGGTCCATTGTATAATTTTTATTTGACTTTTGATGTCATCTGCGGCGTGTCTTCGATCCTAAATCTCACTGCCATCAGCCTAGAGAGGTGTTATACTTCACCCGATAAAGCATCGAAACATCCGAAAACGTAAGTCACAATATTCCTTACATGTACTTCAGGGAGGCCGAGCGTTTAGAGCGCTGGACTTGAAATTCGATGGCCCCGAGTTCAAGTCCCGCCCTGACCACTAGCTGGATTTGTTCTCTGTAGTCCCGAATTTAAATCATCGGCATGCTTGTAAAAAAGGCAACTGATTCGTCCCCTACCGGTTGGGATTTTTAACCATGTTATGTTCAATTTAAATTATTTGAAAAGCCCCTTAAGGGGAGAGGATCATTAAATTTACTTTTAATAATGAAAGATTGTGAAAAAGAAATTGCTAGCTCTACTAAACTAATACGGGTACGATCTGTCGTACTAAAAAAGACTTTTTAACGGAATTTGACAAGATGCGAGAAAGAACAAGAAGAAACACTTGAATGTGTTAAAGGGATGAAAACAATCTGTGAAAGAAACACGGTCCATTCAGATATTCAGTCCCACCGAACAATTGTTAATGCATTTCCGAATTGGTTAACGGAAATCCAGCATGGCAAACTTTAAAGACGTTTTTTATTTTCCAATTCCTGAAATAAATTTCCGCCCCCCGGTTAGCTCAGTTGGGAGAGCGCTGGCCTGCTGGGAGGGAGGTCGCGGGTTCAAACCCCAGTCGGACCAACACTCAGGGTCTTCAGAAGTAACTGAGAAGAAAGTGCTGCCTTTGTAAGGACATCTGCAAATGTTTAGACTTTTTAGTCTTCTCGGATAAAGATGAAAAACCGTAGGTCTCGTCTCACAGCCCTTTTCTTATCTGGTTCTTGTGGGACGTAAAAGATCCCACACCACTGTGCAAAAACAGTAGAAGAAGTAGACCCTGGTGGTGTGGCCAACCTTTCCTGGGCTGGGTGGGTTATCCGTAAGGACATATCCTAATATAGGGAACGATCTTCCTCCAGGTGTCGTAATGGCTACTTTCATGTAAACAGTGTATGTATGAAAGATGAATTATCATTTCGCTGTTGGCAAATTTCTCTTCAGTTGACACTCCTTAAATTTGCGAAAAAATGTTCTTTCTTACTACTGGAATTTATTCAATTGAGTTTTCTCTCCTCTGAGATTTGTGAAAACCGTTATGCCAAGCCTCGTCTCTTTCTTTCCTAGTAGACAAATGTTTTTTTCTCAAGGCGTTGACGAAAACTCTGAAAAACTCTATTTACCAGACAAAGCAGTTTGATAGAAGTTTTCATTTCTGACCAATGGAATATACTCGCTCGTGCGCGTAAAGTCACTTCCCTTGAGTTTGTCGCGAATTCCTGATGTAAGTAAACACACCCATTAACGTCATGTTCACTCTGAACCGGATAGCTTTTGGGCTGACGACCATACCGAATGGGGCTTTTGTTCACACATGATACGGTGATTTCGGCTCCGGTCTTGGAAGTGTCGAAAAGTGGACCCGGCGTCACATGTCAAAGACGTTTCGGCCGCTCTTCGTCGAAGCGAGGAGTGGAACCTACTGAGACTAAAGTAGATATTTAGAGTGAGGATTAGAATTTGGTGCAGATCCTCTCTGTCAACCGCAGAGGCGATGTTCGGTGTGTGTAAACCGGGCTTGTTGCAGTTCTGTGCCGTTACCGTTCATAATTTTCCCCGAGAGCTTTTCATGTCGGCACTAACGGCTATCCCGTATTTTGCAGACATATCATTCGGCTCGATTACAACCACTTTCCTGAGTCCGGTCTTCTATTGAACGTTCTAGTCTGTGATATCGCGCCCTTCTGACTCAGTAGGAAAATGCTACATGATTCGTTAAAAAATATTTCACGGTATTACATACTAAACCGTCCAATAAGTTATAAGTCACATTTGACCATTTGTCTATTTGCTGTCTACAGGGTCTGTGGTAGCCATAATCGTCGTTGTATGGATTCTTTCCTCATTAGCTGGATCAATGATAGAATTTCTACCCTTGGAGCAAGAGAAATTCTATGGCATAATTGTAACTGTCGCATTCTTCTTCACGCCACTCATCGTTATTTTGGTAGCTTATGGTACGATCTTTCACATAGCTAGAGCGCATGCACGAGGCAGAGGCGTCAGTTCGTTCAAAAAGGTACTATGCTATGCTATTGCTATTGATAGCCACAGTAATTCTACCACTGGACCGTACTGTCTGCATGATCATTATCATGTGTGCTTTTTCTCGATTTTTCCCAGTGCTGAATGGCATGCAGTGATCATAGTCCATGTTTTGGTAATATGTTGCAATCTCATGAAAATTATGGCTAACGTTCTTAAAAAAACACATATACCGTATTTATTCGATTAACCGCCCTGGGCGCTTATTAAATTTTTGGACCTTGAGAGTGGGCGCTCATTCGAGGTGGGCGCTTATTCGAGGCTGGGCGCTTATTAAATTTTCACTATTTTCAGCAAGTGAAGTAAGTTTATTTTGCAACAAAACAAATAATGCTAATAACAAAACGCGAAGAAGTAACAAAGAAAGGTTTCTGTATAATAATTCGAAGAAAACTCCGTCCCCCGGGAAGTCTCTTATTAGAATTTATTCACTCAAGTGGGTGGGGTGGGGGTGAGCGCTTATTTGAGTTTGATTGGGAGGAGGAAGGGGTGGGCGCTTATTAACTTTTTCTGCCTTTAGAATGGGCGCTTATTCGAGGTGGGCGCTAATTCGAGGTTGGGCGCTTATTCGAATAAATACGGTATTGTCAAACCTGTATTATGCGGTCACCCTTTGGGAATGGCTTACTGAACGCTTAATACAGGTTGACGGTTTAATACAGCTTTGACAAACCTAAGAGTTGTTCAACCAAATAAAGATGGTGAAAGAGCGAACCCGCGACAAACTACTTCAAAGTGCTTCTACCTTTTCTTGTGGCAAAAAAGGAAGTAAGAGACCAGTAAACACCATTAAACTGTATCTGTTGCATTAGTATGGTAAATATTGTCAAAGTGACCGTCTAATAGTAACGTAACCGCCTAATAGAAGTGACCGCTTAATTCAGTTCAGTTTTACAGTAACTGAGGGAAATGATTTCCGAGATGTAGTCAAACCTCTTCTGACAGACACCTCTATTACTTACAGCTCACTTGCTCCTAAAGATAGTACACTTCATGTAGTTCCTATCAGTATAATAACGGACACCTTTATTGTGCGGACATCTGACTTTGTCCCTTTGGTGTTCGCACCGTAAAGAAGTTTCCATGGATTCCCCGTGGTAGATATAAAGTAACTTAGCATGATAAATACACCACACAAATAAAAGTTGTTAAAACTGTACTGGGACAGCAAATCAAAACACTTCCAAATACTCTAACCGCCCTTGTCGCATGGTGTTCATCAGTCTTCGGATCTTATCGACCACGTTATCTTTCATTACTTGACTATCCAATGACGCTGAATATTGGTGTTGATTTTAGGCACGTGCATACACTATCCCCCTTCAATGTAGGGCCAACACTGGCAAAGCTGTACAAACAAACAGTTCTTAATCAGTTTCATGGAGTGAAGTACACGCACATACAACATTACTAACGACGGCTAACCAACAGTGGTTTGCGCAACAGAAAGAAACGCACAGTGAATGACGCAATAGGATGGTCACTTGACGGAAGAGCACAAAAACTATAAAGAAGTACGACTAACGAAGACTGACAAGACAAGACAAGACAAAATGATTTATTAAACTCAGCTCAGTGTTACATGACATAAAGGTTACATTTACATAGGCATCTAAACACAGTACAACTAAGTCTGAGACAAAGTGAATTTTGTCGTTGGTCAGATAATTTTCACTGACGCTTTTCTTTTTTTTTTGTTCTTTTTTTTTTGTTCTTTGCTTTCTTTTTCTGCTTTCAAAATCACGTTTACTTAATATTTTCTGTTCTTCCTTTGATTGTCTGGATTCTTGCATAGATGAGTAGTTTGTTATTTATTCCATTAAAATGGACGTTCTTTTCACACCGTGTTTTGTATGCTTTAATGATTTTACTATAAGCCACAATTTAACGATCTTGTTTTTTTTTTTTCAGGATTTGCGTATTGCTAGAACAGTAGCCGTAGTCATTGGCCTTTTTGTCATCTGCTGGACTCCATTTTTTGGCATCAACTTCGGGTTCGCGGTTTGTATAGCCACACTGTTCAAGGGAGCTGGTTGTCCAGGCCTTATGACTTTGCCAAAGTGGATTTTTTCCGTAAGCAAGTGGCTTCAGTACGGGAATTCGGTTTGTAATCTCGTTATTTATGGCTTCCGCAAAAAAGATTTTCGGCGAGCGTTTCGAAAGATTTTACTCGGATTGTGCCGTAAAAAGGTGCGGCTGTCAGATTACAGCAAGAGCGCGTACGGACGCACGGTACGAAGCGCTTACTTACGCCGAGAATCAAGCTTTGAAAAAACCCGATCAGTCATTTTCCCTCCCAACGTACCGCTTGGAATGTTTGACATGCGGGACAGCTACCATAAGGCGATACAAAGCGGACGCAGCAAGCCGATTAAGCTTAAATTTACACCAAAGAAAAGTGTGGCAAATGATCTGCTATCGATAAACGTTGACGCGTTTCGCACTTCAAATGAATTTACTTCCAGTACAAGTGTCTGGAATTCGTCTTCCGAGGCTTCCGTCTCTCCAGCGGAGCTTTGTAACCCTGCCTTCGAGGAGGACGATCAAACCGATATCTGCCCTATAGATCAAGCGATACCAGTGAGAGATTCCAGCGACAGCATCTCCTCAGAATCAACTAATTCTGTGTATAAGAGTTCCTCAAAAGGATCTGTGCATAGCGACCAAGCCTACGTTCGATTTTCGGATTCCAAAACCAAGGAAAAGGATAGCGAACCCAAAACTGCTGCTAACCTTGGTTCTGCTTTGGACAGGAAAAGGTCGTTATCGGAGATATTTCTACGTACGACCAGTGCAAAAGACAGTCTCAAAAGAAAACTGCGGTCGTCTTTTTCTTAAAAATACTTCACGGACAGTAACCACGGCGATTGTCCTTTCGCAAGAGCTGAGGTTTCGCATATTATATGCTAATAAAAAAGGAAACAAACAAAAAAGGACTGACCGCGGCTACGTACGAGCAAAGTATCGAGGCCCCCTTTTGGATCTTTGAGATCTTCCGCTGCAGAATCCATCAACTATAATCCCTCAGTATATACGGTTAACATTTTATCTTCAGCTATTGTTTGAGCCACCACACCATATTTGTGTGGCAGTTCAGCGAGTTAGAAGGCTCGCCCGACGTAGCAAATGTGAAAAGTAGACTCGAGTTTGACTTATTTGTTCTGCTTATCCTATTTATCTCTTAGTAAAGTGACGTCATTCTTAACTGTAGCTAGTGAAGATCCTTAAGTATAAAACCAATGAAATGCTTTGCTAAATAAGTTCTAAAACACCTTAATAGTGTAGGTGGACTATGATGATGACTGTGATAAAACGGAAGCTCTGATTGGTTTTCGTTTTCGAGCTAAGGAAGTTTAATTTAGGGTCGAATAATCATTTAACCGTTTCATACCGTGGGGCTTTTGAGCTGCTATTGTTGAAGATAATTCATGTGGTAGCCAACTTCTTGATTTTATCACGCAGCTTACTATGTAAGTACTTTTTAATTTGGTTAAAGTCTACTCTGGTGGCCGTAGCATGATTCGTTTTGGAGCAAAAAAAAAAGTCCCGTTAGTGAATAACGTTAAGCTAGGCTATTTTATTCAGACATTCAGCTATAAATAATTCCGATGAGTAGTGGCTTTGTACGTATTAAGCACCTAGACACTCTTTGTTTATTGTCTTATCATTCCATTAGTTCTATTAATATAATTATTACTATTATTATTATTATTATTATTATTATTATTATTATTTAATTGACCTTTAGTACTGGAAAGCGAAGCAATGTGCAAAGAATAAACAATAAACGACTTCCATTACGTATATGTCAGACAAGTTGTTTATTACTGACCAATGAATATGAATATGAAAACCCGTAATAAACCCTTTTAACTGACGCACGCCCGTAGTAGGAAGTGGGTTATATCGTGAGCTGCACAAATGATCATGAAACATAATCAAAGTTGTAATTTTGAAGAAAGAGAAAGAAAAAATACAAATTACTATGGTAAATGAGCCAACAGCCTAGGCAAGTATCACATGCAGTTAGTACAGAAACGGAAGATGGATGACATTTCGTTAAAATACGTCGTAGACATGTCCATATTTTAAACGTTGATTATATCTTCCCTAAGCCGTTAAGCAACCTTGTTCCTGCGAGCTGATCCCGTACACGAGACCAAGAAGGTAAGATTTACAATGTGAGATTTTAAAATACGTTCAAGAAATTCACCTCATTACATTGGAAAAAAATTAATTTCCAATAGCTTCTTGCAACGTTTTGAGACATCGAAAAAAAGTGAAAAAAAATTAAACTCTTACTCTGTTTATAAGCAACAAACCCATAACTAAACAGCTGACAAGTGAAATTTCTTATCATTCATACTACATCCTGTTTTTTAAACAAAATTTTCTGAGGTTTTCTTCTCTGTACCATCAGCTCAACATCATTCAGCCTCCTGTTCGATAATTGCATCCTTAGTTCAAAATATCAAGCACCATGCTCACTACCCAGGGTTCTAAAGGTTATTTTTTTCTTATCTAATTCCTAACAGTTCGCGCGACAGCGAGTTACAAAGAGCCAACATAAAAAGGGAGAGAGCTTTATCAACCGTAAGCACAGTTCATTTCATCCTAGGAATTTTGAGAATGGATTTCTGGAACGGCCAGAGTATATACTCACCTAACTGAAGGGTACTAAACTCAGAAGAATTTGAAAGTCGTGTAGGCCGATTGCCTCACCCATAGGGCCTGAAAGAATTGGCCCCGGCGTCCAGTTGTTCGAAAGATGGATAACGCTATTCACTGGATAAATCTATCCACTGGATAATGCAATTAATCTACATAAATATTTATCCTTTGGATAGCGATTTATCCGGTGGATAGCGCTATCCAACGTTTGAACAACCGGAGCCTAAAGGAGGCTACATCTTTAATAACTGACCGTAAAGCGTGTCCACTCCCGCCGCCATTTCGGAATTCGTTTGCGTTTTAGTGGATTGGCGCCAAAGGAAATAATGTTTTTTCCTATTTATATTCAAGACTAAGAGACGGGAATGGGTGTGCAGCTCGAACTGTGAGCCTGAGTGTTTATTGCCGTCCAAATATTCACCATCATAACTAAAGAATGGTATACAAATATGTAAGAGATAAAGCCCGAGAACGGAGGTATTAAGCCATATACATCCCGAGGGCCGTAGGCCCGAGGGATGTATATGGATTAATACCGACGTTCGAGGGGTTTATCTAACTTATTTCATGATATTATTCATGAGGTATAGTTTACATAAAGGTCGTCTTTCACAGGGCAATAATTGGCCACTTGTTTTTGCCATGTGTTTGTTTGTCATTTTTTGATCCGACCGCAGACAATGACGTATTTCATTGTAAGTATCGTAAAAGTTTTCACACAGCATCGAGAAAGGGCGTTTCACGGGTCATAATTTGTTCAAACCACTTGTTCTCACTTAGGTGAGAAACGGAAAACAATAGCGCATTGTTTGTTTGCTAAGCCGACAACAATCAAATTTCAAACCTTTTGTGTTTTTTTTATTTTTGTCTTGGTATTTTTCTGGGGGGACAGTACACTTGTGAGAGCGGCAATGGATAGTGACGACGAAATTTTCCTAACGCAAAATACTTTCTCTCAGGAGCCTTTTTCCCCTGAGTTGAATTTGGAAGAGTTAGTGGGAGACTTTAGAGAAGTAAGCGAACGAGATAGTGTTGAAGTCGAAAAGAAAGAAAATCCTGGGCGTAATATCGTTGTTGTTTGTGATAACGAAGTCGAGAAGAGAAGAGAGTCCAGAATGCCGGCAAACACGAAAGTTAATACTTCATGGGCGGTACGTTGCTGGGAGGAATGGGCCGTCGAACGCAATGTAAAAATTAAAAAGAATAGCAGCAAAGAGAAATACTACGAAGTCAATTCTGACATTAAGAAAGTCGCTAATGAGCAGCTTGACTACTGGCTTGGGAAGTTTGTTTTGGAAATTCGGAAGAAGAAAGAACATGGAAGCGTGTAAGTGACAACGAAATTTTCCAGAGACTTAAAATTTTCTTAGAGTGAACACATAGCCTGCATGATATATGGGATACTACTGTATTTTCTATAGTTGCAGTATAAATTTCTATATTTGTATTAAAGGGAGAAATTTTCTCAGAATGTTTGGCGGGGTCAAAGGACGTGTATGATTTGCTTTAATTGCTCATTATAAATGGAAGGGATTTATTTGTATATTGCCCAGGGCAGCAGGGCAATATACAGATAAACACCGGGTATTTATATAGATATTGCCCTTGCATTTATAATTAGCAATTTATTCAATTCATCAGCCCCGCTCTTCCCTGCTACATTATCAAGCCCTCCCCGGACTTTCAGTTAGTTAAATATTCATGAAGTATGTAAGTTAAATAAAGGATGTTGAATAACAAAAGAAAATGTGTGATTCATGAAATAATCCTAAATAAAGTCACTCAGGCTAAACTATTAAACTATTAACGTGCGCCTCCTGATACGAAAGCCCAAAAAACCCGATGGGAAAAAATTGGGAACGTATTCACCAACCAATGCCGTCGCACAATCTCTGGGGGTTAACGGTAAAAAATCAATCGATAGATGAATAAAGTTACATATAAAATAACAATTAATGGTTCGAGAGCTGAGATGAATACATTACAACTGTCAAAATATTACAACCCACGGGAATTACACCCAGTGAAGCGCATGTGGGTAGAGAATTTGACATCCTGAACGTCCCAGGGTGGGAAATTTGACTCAGCCGCCATCTTGGAAAGTGGAGGACCAGGGAATGAGTAGCCTGGGAAAACATCCGTTTCTCCTCGCTCTTCGCTGCTGGGGACGTTTCGCGCGGAGGAACGTCTGCGACTCCACGACAAAAATTCCATACTGATGACGTAAATCAGTGTTTTCATAATAAATCCGGTAGTCATGGGGTTGCAAATGCAAATTTGTTCGATTTTAGGTTTTTCGTAATGGATTTTGGTAAAGTGTTGTGTTCATCTGCGAACGAGCTCCAGCAAAACTCAAATGCTTGTTCTAGAGAAGACTATATCCACAAATATTGACTGTTTTGTTAGAGATTCATCGCGTTCACATTTGACCTTTGTGGCCTTTTGTCTTTCGTCTGTCATTCGTAAACAATAGCTAAAACAATGTAACTACTCTGTCGACCAATCAGAGCTTCTGACCGGATTCTGGACATATTTTACGTCATCAGTATGGAATTTCTGTCGCCGAGTCGCAGACGTTCCCCCGCGCGAAACGTCCCCAGCGGCGAAGAGCGAGGGGAAACGAATGTTTTCGCAGGCTAGGGAATGAGTGAATGATTGCTTTTTTAGATTTTGAGGTTTAATTTATGACAAAAAGTATTTTGTTCCTCAGCATTCAGAAGCAAAACTTGCACAAAGTCTCATCTTGAAAATATGCTTTCTACTTACATGTTTCCACCAGATGCTGCCCTGCCTCAAGTTTTTGATGAAAAGAAAGACAAAAAAGACATGAAAGATTCCTGGAATTCTGTGTTAGATTTGCTAGCATACTCAAAATGTCCAATTAAATGATATTCTGGACCACAGGTACAAAACAACAGCCCTAAGACATTAACCCTTCTTGATGATGGCATGTCATTTTCGGGATAGCATTGCACATTTCGCATTGCTGTAAACACTGTGTGAGACA